TGTGTTAATGTCCCTGGCCAGATTTAGTTCAATCTGGGCTGTAGCTTGTCTAACCTGTTCCCTGGCTGCTCAAACAATTTATCTGTATTCCTCTCAGGCTACCCACCCCTGTTTCCACCCTCTATATGCCTCCTTTTTGCTTTTGGTCATGTCCAGGAGCTCCTTGTTCATCCATGCAGGCCTCCTGGCTTTTGTGCTGACCACCTTCTTTTAGGAATGCATTGCTTCTGGGCTTGGAGGAGGTGATTCTTGAATATTAACCAACTTTCTTGGGCCCTTCTTCCCTCCAGCACTTCATCCCAGGCACCATACCAAGCAGATTCTTTAAGAGCCCAAAGTCAGCTCTCCCAAAGTCCTGGGTGGTCAGCTTGCTGCGCACCTTCCTCACTGCGTTGAGGATCTTGAACTCCACCATTTCATGGTTGAGTTTGACACTGTCTATCAGTCTCTCCTTGTTGGTAAGGACAAGGTCCAGCATAGCTCCTTTCCTCATTGGCTTCTCAACCACTTGGAGAAGGAAGTTGTTCTCAATGCAATCCAAGAACCTCCTGGATTGCCTATGCCTGGCTGTGTTACCCAGCTTGACAATGATTTCGCTTTAATCCTGACCCATAAGCTCTCAGTCAGCTCTTCATCCGTTCCTAGGCTGAGCTCCGTGCACTCCATCTGGTTGTTGACATATAGGGCAACACCACCTCCTCGTTTCCCGTGCCTGTCTCTCCTGAAGAACATGTCCATGCCAACATTCCAGTCGTAGGAGCCATCCTACCATGTTTCCGTGATGCTAGTGAGATCATAGCCTTGGAGGTGTGCACGTGTCTCTAGCTCCTCCTGTTTGTTCGTGCATGTTGAGGTTGCAATTCCTGTGCACTGCCCTCCCAGCAGCATTTCTTTGCTGTGTATTAGTGATGCCTCCCCACCAGCTCCTTTTGCCCCAGGGGCTCCTGGCTCATCTACATAAGACTTAAGTGTGCTGCAGTGTAGCCAGCGCATCTTAGAGCAAACAGCTGCAGGCCCTTGCTAGCAAACCGTTCCTCTGTCCTCAGTGCATCGTCCCTTGGCTTCACCAGCACGCCTTGTAATACCCCCTTCCCCCATCCACTCTAGTTTAAAGCCCTGTCAATGAGCTCTCCTGATTCTTGGGCAAAGACCCTTCTCCCCCTTTGAGTGAGACAAACCCCATCTGACACTAGCAGGCCTGGTGCCATGTAGGCCATTCTGTTGTCAAAAAGCCCCAAATTGTGGCGGTGACACCAGCAGTGGTGATGTGCCGCTCTTTTCTGGGTGGGAGAATACAAACAGCACTTCTGAGCAGAAAATTTGTAGAGGTGTATATAAATCTCACAAATTTGCAGTGTATGAAAGATTTAATTTGCTACAGCTAGGTTTTCAGAATCTACAGAACTGACTTACAAAATTCAGAGAAAAATGCCTTTTGTACTTTTGACGCTGCTAAAGTATATTTGGATTGTAATTTCAAGATTCTTTTCATTACAGTCTTGAACTTAAAAGTTTTGCGTTTAAAAAGAAAACTGTACTGCTGCTGCTTAAATCAAATACTGAGAACCTTAATACAGTTAGGAAAACAAGCTACGCTGAAAGTGGCTGAAATGATCAGTTCCACTTCCAATGTTGTTAGGGAAATAACATTTCTTGGAATTCTCTTCGTCTGGGAGAAGGAAGGCAATTTCAATCTGATTTATTTTACTGCCTTGCAACATGTATCTTTGCAGACATGGAAGGCATCATACAGTTATGCCATCGAATGTCAATTACCGTGCCAATATATGGGCATTAAAAGAAGAAAATTGTTCACATGTATTAGTGACTACTGCCTGTGGTTCGTTACGAGAAGAAATACAACCTGGTGATCTTGTCATAATTGATCAGTTCATTGACAGGTGAGTAAAATCTGTCTTTGTGTTCTTAGTTTTGGGGGAGAAAAAAGGGGACAAGTGAGGTTAAACCATATAGTAACGCATTAAATTAATTTTTTTGTGGAACGAGGTGATAGCCTCAGTTCTTCTGGCAAAAAGTGAGATTCATACAAGAAGACGTGATAAGGAAACCGGAATTAGATTACAAGTTCAGCTCTAACAGACAGACGAAATACCAGGCTTTGAAGAATGGCTTCAAATGAACTAAGGTATAGCTCCTTGGGAAGAGTCTTCTGAAGAGATCTCCTGTTCTCAGATGTGAGGGAGGAACATGGAAAAGAGCAGAGGCTGTCCTAAGTTTTAAGAAGAGTCTGAAATGAGATAGAGGGGTGCAAGAAAGCATAGTAGGAGCCAGGTAGGAAAATATACGAAGTCATAACGGGGCCCCACAGAAAAGGGATCAAATGCAACACAGTGGGAGAAGAGGATGTTGTTTTACAACGGGGATTGATGCTAACATTTTTTATTTGCTAAGGAAGTAAATTTTTCATCACAGTCTGTGTACTCCAGTCAGTCCTCCCTTTCTTGATTATCTGATGTTTAGAAAAACTCAGGCAAATGGGGGCAGGGAAAAGGCTCTGTTTAAAGATCACCAACTACAGCAAGCATTTAAAAAATATAATTGCACATTTTAAGAGGTAAATTTATTATTAGTACTTATAGGTGTACTATATCTGGAAGTCTTATTTGAGTGTTCCACTCAATTTTAAGTGTTTGGAATGGTTCATGCAGCTTCTTTGTGCTTTTGTGGGGCTGCTGGCCCCTGAACATGTATACTTAGGTATACTTATACTTCATTGCCAACTGAACATATATACTTAGGTTTGTTCTCTGCAGTGCTATTCAAGTTTTGTCTTACTGGCTTTTTTTGTGTGTGTAATCGAAATATTTTTTCTTGTAAGACAGTCTGGTTTAAGTACAGCATACCTAAATGACTAAGTACCTTGCAGGAGCAAGCACCATATAAACTGCTTGCTGTTACATTAGAGTTGATTTATGGATGGCAAGCAGCTGCATTGCTGACAATGGTCTTTTTTTCCTTTTTTTCAAGTCTAAAAGTATTTAGGCTGATCACTTTGTTTCTACAGATTAAATCATAATCATCCTTATTCTGCCAGTAGTACTTGGAAATGAGTAATTTTAGTATCAATATTGATTTATCTAGGAAAGATATTAAACATACTTGCGTACACAGTTTGGATGGTTGTGAGTAATGCACCAGTTCTTTTGACAGCATTATCATCTAGTAGGCTCCTTGGTAGGTGAGGGGAGCCTAAGTGTACAAAGCTGTGAAATGCATGCATGGTAAGAAGTAGCCTCTGGCCCAGAGAGCCTGCAGTTTTAAACAAGAAACAGTTGAAATGATTGTGGAGTATTATCTGCTGTGGATGAGGGGTGGAAGTATCAAGAAACTAAGTCTTGCAGACGTCTGGCAGAAAGCCATTAACAGAGCCAGGAAATTAACCCAGATATGAAATCTGAGACCATCCTTCATCCAAAATGTCATTATCAAAACTAACAATTCATTTTGAAGCTACCTCATCTCCTTCCACAGCTTTAAGTTTCCTAGCACTTGCCAGACTGCATCATAACTTCTGAGCTGGAAGGGAAACAATCAGCTTGGTTAAGTTTGGGTTTTAAGAACATGTCCCTTTCAAGAAGGGGAAAAAAAAAAAGGTTATAGAACAAATAAGTATATTTATCTGATGTGAAGGGTGAGTGAAAGGACGGAGATCGTTTACATTGCAGAAGGGTGCAAATTGTATCTTGGGCTGCATTAGTAGGGGTGTTGCCAGCAGGTCATGGAAGGTGATTCATCTTCCTCTCTGCTCAGCACTGGTGAGGCTGCACCTGGAATGCTGTGTCCAGTGCTAGGCTCCCCAATGCAAGAGGGATATGGACATACTGGAGAGAGTCCAGCAATGGACCACAAAGATGCTGAAGGGACTGGAGCAGCTCTCCTGTGAGGAAAGGCTGAGAGATCTGGGACTATTCAGCCTAGAGAACAGAAGGCTCAGGGGGAATCTCATCAATGTATATAAATACCTGCAGGGAGGGCACAAAGAAGACAGACAGGCTCTTTGCAGTAGTACCCAGTGACAGGACAAGAGGCAGTGGGCACAAACTGAGTGCACAGGAGGTTCCTTCTGAACATCAGGAAACCGTGAGAGTGACTGAGCACTGGCACAGGTTGCCCAGAGAGATGGTGGAGTCTTCCTGCTTAGAGATTTCCAGAAGCTGCCTGGACATGGTCTTGGGCAACCAGTTCTAGGCAGCCCTGCTTGAGCAGGGGGGGTTGGACCAGATGACTTCAAGGGGTCCCTTCTAACCTTAACTATTCTGTGATTCTGTGACCTGTGTCTTCATTTAGAGTTTATTCAGATGGTCACCAGCAGTAAAAGCATAGCCCATATATGAGCAGTGTTTCATTTTGGCAAGTAAGTTTTCATTTTGATGTATAAGAGTGGGAACTTGTCGGGACTTGTTTCATGGCTTCAGGAAACTAAGAAGCTTCTCAGAAAAGCTCATGAGAATGTTTCAGTGTGGAAAACTATGTAATATGAATTTAAACATCATTACTAGGTTGCCCTTTAATTCAGAAAACTGATAAGTTGTAATAGTCTATTTCATTTCACAATTTGATTCCTGTGATAAGTCTTTTTCCCTGATGATCTTTGCCAGTGGGTGTTAGACTGCTGATTCTTTGGTAGGGTCTGCATTTTTGCCTTTCACAGGGATGTATCATCTGTAAAAGCGATTGCATTATATGTCATAAATCATGACGAAAACAATGCTGCTGATGGGAAGGTATTTTCATGGGACAAAACAGATTAATTGCCCACCAAAGTCTGAAAAGATGCAAATTTTCTTAAATACCTTCTAATGAAAGACCAGGTCCTGCAAAAAAACTGTGTCAGCAGACTTGGAAAGAAGGTACTGGTTAAAGCTGCAAACACAGTCGGTTATTTTTCTTGAAAGGTACCCTGGCTTTTATATAGCGATTAACCCGTGCCAGGCACTACGTATGAAAGCAGCTTGGGTCTAGGTTGGAAGAATTTACTTAAGCTGCCATTAAAATAAATGCCTTCTAGATGTCCAGGTACCTTTTGGTATCTGGGCTCTGGTTCTCAATAGGGAGCACATCATTATTCTCCTTGCAGGTATGAAGCAATAAGAAGGAATAGTGAATGGGAGTAGAAGAGCTAGAACTGAGCAGAAAGCTGTAGGCAGCAATTGTCTTGCTCCCCTTGGGGTCATACACATTGTGGCATTAATGACAGGATCTAAGTATGTGAAGCTGTGTAGGACTTCTGCCTAGTTTAGGGCATAGGGTTGACTTAAAGCGAGGAACACCAAATAGGTGTAATTGGAAATATGTAGCATTTCCAAACTTCTGAGAGCTTAATTCTGTGGATCGGTATCACTGCTAGTAGGTGTTTGATTTCATATATAGAGTCTCTGCTTTCTTCACGCTGATCTATTAGTGTGTGTATTTAAACAATAAAAGATACATTTTGTTAAATAAATACCAAAATATTTACATGGTGTTCTCCCTGCTTCCAAATCCAAAAGTAACCATAGGTGCTATTATGGGCTAAAGCATTTGTTCTCTTCTTTGAAACAAGTGTGTAAAAAAAAAAAAATAATAATCAGGAATAATTTTTTTTCTTTGTCTTCTGTTGGTTTATTATAGCGTTGTTAGTCAATTGGCTAGATCAGACTGATTAGGGACTTTTTAATGCTGTCTATTTAGTTTGCTGATGACGTTTGTTAGGAAAAAAAGACTGAGAATGTAACTACTTACTTAGATGACTCAGCTCAGTCAGGAAGATGCAGAAAATAGCTTAATGAAAGAAATCCTGTAACAGCTGCCAACTTTGTTTGAATTCTTTGTGTCGCATAGACCACTACAGTTATTACAGTAGTGTTACAATCTGTAAAATTTTTCAGGGGAGAATTTTCTTTCAGTGTCCCTGAAGAGCCAGAGCATCTGCATTCACACAGCAGATGCCAGTGTGAATTTTCATTTTGTTCTTTAATTACTAATAGCTTGTTGATAATTGAACACTACTGGAAAAAAGGGGAAGGTGATGATGCAAGCGCTAGAGGACTGTTTGTAACAGATGGAAATGATTGGTTCATTCACTTATTTGAGTTGGATTTTACTTCCTAGCATCAGTCATAGTCACCATAGTCAAAAAATCTTGGGCTACTGTGATAAAATCAAAATGGAGCAAAAGCCACCTTACTGTCTGATAAACAGTGTGGCTATTGCTGTAGGGTGGGCAATACAAATGCTGCGGACACATTCAAAATTGAAGTGTGGGCAGCTTTGAATTTGAAAAAGCAGTAAGAGCAAGGCAGGAATGGCAAAACTGTGCAACAGTGCAAAGGTTTGCTTGTACTATGAGTACCAGTCTCCTTGAGCTAGTCACGCAAGTGGTTATGCATAAAAACATACATAGAATCATAGAATTGTCTAGATTGGAAGGGACCTTTAAGATTGCGTACAACCATCAACACTGCCAAAACCACCACTAAACCGTGTCCCTAAGCACCACGTCTACCTGTCTTTTAAATACCTCCAGGGATGGTGATTCAACCACTTCCGTGGGCAGCCTGTTCCAATGCTTCATAACACTTTCTGTGAAGAAATTTTTCTTAACATCCAATCTAAACCCTGGTGTGGCTTGAGGCCGTTTCCTCTTGTCCTGTTGCTTGTTACTTGGGAGAAGAGATTGACTCGTACCTCTCTACAGCCTCCTTTTAGGTAGTTGCAGAGAGCGATAAGGTCTCCCCTCAGCCTTCTTTTCTCCAGGATAAACAATCCCAGTTCCCTCAGCTGCTCCTCATGAGACTTGTTCTCCAGACCTCTCACCAGCTTCATTGCCCTTCTGTGGATACACTCCAGAACCTCAATGTCTTTCTTGTATTGAGGGGCCCAACACTGAACACAATACTCA